TTAGCCTGGGCAAGTTGGGGAGATGTGCGTAGCTCAGAACAAAGTAATCAATTGTGTTTGCCCACTTTATGCTCGGTCATTGTACAAGCTGAAGGAAAAAATGGAGTAGGGAATGCGACAGGGAGGTGACGGGTATTGCCACGCGAATGTTCCAGTACATGACTGCATAGCCAACAGGAAAATTACCACGACTCAGAACAAAGAAGAATGGGAACGAGAAGAGTTTCAAAGTTTGAATTTGAGACGTATCAGTTGTTAACAGCAAATCGACAAGCAACCGTGTCAGCTTCGCGTTTCCAGATGGTGGTGTTACTCTCGTACACAATGCGATTCCCAGTACATTATGTAGTGCGTGTGCATGGACTGACGCAACAACTACTTGACACGATCTTTATTAGGAAAATAGAAATAGAGATGTGAAAACAAAAATTTAATAATACTGTAGATGGCGCAGGAATGCAGTACAAATGCCCAAACACTCAAGAATTCAGTATCATGGGACACTGACGTAACAACTAGTGCATTAAATGTACACGTACATGTATGTCGAGTAGAAACACAATCGTGTCACTCAAACATGTGTCTTGACGTTCCTCGGTGGCATTATCATGCTCCAGCATCATGTACCCGTGTGTTCTTACAGCAACGCGTTCACTAACATGAATTCCACTCCGGTTTTGGTTGTGTTCGACGAGCGAATCACGTATCGTTGTCGGTGACGTACATGTTGAAGCAGGCGAGAACCATCAATATGTGCCCCCCGTACTATAGCATGCACCCATACTGTAGGACATCAGCAGATGGGATTACGTCGAGGAAACGGCACCACGAGGAGACACACAAGGAAATGCTTACACACATTGGCACGCCTCGCACCTATTTTTCCTTTTCCTTCTTGCAAACAAAAAGCGTTTGTAGAGCTTAAGTTTGGGCGAAATCGGGTGTACACGTACATAATACCTACCTATATGGGAATCTCCTTGGGATGTAAACGATACCCAACACGTTTTCATGGTCAGTGAATAAACCTAACCGTGACAGAATATTGCCTATTTTGTCCACTCTGCAGCCCCAGACCATATCTGATCGTTTCCCAAATAGTGGAGGGTTCAGCGGAAATGTTGCCCCAATCGTACTAGTTTTCTTTGCCAGGATGCTCAGATATCAACAACCTGCACATGTGTATGTACACTGTGTACGCCAGCCACGAGTCTGTGACAACCTAATGAGCTGGATTTCTTGCTACGGTCTTCAAAGGTATTCCATTCCTTTTTTGCACCTCAAACACCCAGCTTCAGTACTGCACCCGACCATACGGCTTAGCTGACATGTGAACTCTTCTCAGCTAAGATATTACTGGCAGGGCGGTGGTTTTGTTCTTAGCTCCGTCAACTCAGCCTGCATCAGTAGAAGCGCTCTCTATGTGTCCCATATTGTATGCATGTGTTTTGGTGCATTTCGAAGAGGCCTGTCTCGGTTCTGGGCTGTCCGTCGTAGCAAAAACCACAGGACAGGAACGTCTGCGGGCGCTGTGACAGGTACCACACTCAAACTAGATTTGGTGATGGCGCTGGTGTTGCCGTCGCCATCGTCGTTGCTGGTAGCGTATCAGTGGCGGTGGTGGTGGCGTAGTTGGTTAGGCCTTTGGCTTTGCTGATAATGCCGGCAGAAAAATTGGCAGAATTCGGTACTTGTTCTGGTAAGTTTCATGCGTGTTTGGTATGTGGATAAAATAAATGGAGCAGAATTCGAGGAATTGCCCGCCATAAGGTTTGTATGGTTCTGCCAATTTCACTGCTTTTCGAGCAGAATCTGCCACCTTTTCGAGCATTATCCGCCAATGCCTAGTGATGGTGGTGGCAGATGGAGACGAATGGTGATCAGTTCCTGCGATCAGTACTCCTCAGTTACAGTGTCTGAATCAGTTCTCGGAGTACGATGTGCATTATTTGGTTGTTTTCTTGTCTCTGCAAAATCAAACTACAGTAAAACCTGTCAAGGCGACCACTCGAATAAGGCGACCACCTGTCATAGAAGACCACTGGAACCAGGACCAGGGTATGCTACATATTTCAAGTCAAACGACCCTGGATAAGGAGACAACCTGGTAACAGAGACCACGTTTTGAAGGCCCCATGAGCGGTCGTCTTAGACAGGTTCCACTGTATCCCTAGTCATTGAGGTGAGAGTGTCGCGGTGGCGACCATTAAGCTCAGTCGACCAAATGTCTCGGCTTCATAGCGCGAGGGACCGGCCAAAGAGAGATCAGGTGGCGAGACTTTAGAGTGAAAAAAGAAGAGAAAGACCACCAAAAGAGATTGAAAGAATCGAATTACTCAGCAAGCAAAGTACTCACTCAGCCTGCATAAGTAGAAGTGCTCTCTATGTGTCCCATATTGTATGCATGTGTTTTGGTGCATTTCGAAGAGACCTCACCCTCACCGTTAGGTGCTGCATCTGCCGCTAGGATTTACCGGGGGTGTTAGCGGCCATCGTGAGTTCCTTCCGGGAACGGACACGATAATTTACTTTTTAGCTCTTTAAAGTACTCGCTGAGTTGAGAGTTTGGTAGATACACTTACAGACTTCAAGAGGAGACTGACCGGAAGGAGAGATGTTGTCCAAGCAGGTAGGGACGCTGCACCCTCCGTGCACGAGCGTGTGATATCAGCCAGGTGATGGGACATGTCAGTGCATGTTCACATCATTTCCTTATAACTATATCAAGCCTTTTGTTTTATTGTGACAGTCAATTTTCTCTTCAGACTTTTCCCGTTTGTTTGCATCTTTCCCTCAAACTATGTGAATAAGTGAAAATATTTTTGTATATTCTTGATCTGGCATTGAGAGTCTAGCCATGCGGTAAGATGGGAAAGCAGAAATGCGTGCGTATCTGGTGAAGTACAGTGGAACCAGTCCAAGCCAACCGCTCATGAGACCTTCAAAACGTGGTCTCTGTTAACAGGTGGTCTCCTTATCCAGGGTAATTTGACTGGAAATAGCATCCCTTGGTCCTGGTTTCAGTGGTCTTCTAGGACAGGTGGTCGCCTTATCCGAGTGGTCGCCTTGACAGGTGTTGCTATAAATATACACAGACAGCGAGCAACAACGTGCCAATGCAGCTGCTATGTCGCGCGTTTGAAATCAGAAGAAACATGCTTTGCGAAGTGTTGGCAGTGCGGGTGGTCGCGCATGTGCATTGCTAATTCACTACGTTCAGAGACGGGGCTTGTGTCGCTCTCATTGCCGTGTGTCGCAGGACACTGCAACTGTTCGTGATCTTGTAAGTTCATACACATTCGTGCTACCGCCGGCCATACAGTTGTGATGAGAAACACAAACAGGCGAGGAAGTTTCGCTTTTACTAGTCGTCAGGCCTGACTATACTAGGGGGTCGCGTTCACTTCAGTTACTACGAGAAAAGCTAGACTTGAGTACGAAAAAAAGCTAGAGATCTTCTTTCCTGACATCTTATTTCTTGTTGTTGGTTTCTTTGTTTGGTTTGGCAAAAGCAAACGGACAGAACTGCCCTGTGATAAGGGAGTGAATGATGAGCGTGATATCACTAGGCAACAAAGGATACCCTTCTTCTCTCCGTACTTCTGCCCCCCCCCCCTCTCTCATTCCTTCTGTCGTCCACATGTATCAAAGGAGTCGAAATCGCCTGTTTGTGGTGCGACGTTAAATGAACTTCTACAACAACTACAACAAAGGAATGTTACCACAACTGCGGAGGAAATGGCTATCTATAGAGTGCCTAGACAAAGATACCGGATGAAAATTGACTGATCGCCATTACCTAAACAGATGAATTGTGAATTTCGAAATGTGACTATTCTGCAAGCCGTGGTTAGCCATAAAAACCCGCAATCTCCACGCAAAGTGGTTATTGGCTACCCCAGCAATGTACAGGTATTGTCTGGAATAAAACTGAAAACAAGTCAAACCAGGAATTGAAACAGAATGATGGACAGATTGCGTGGAACAATAAAACAGATAATGGCTGATTAAAACAGCAATGGGCCACCAACAGCGACAAACATTATGTAAATACGAATAAAACAGAAAGGTTCCAGGCTGTCAAAGGCAGTGTTCAATGTCGAGAGGCAGAGCTAGCTTAGTGCGTGAAACTCGCAGTTAAAGGGGAAGTTAAGGCAAAAATTAAAATTTCACCAGTTGTAGTCTTCGGGGTGCTGAGTCGAATGGTCATGGTCCGAGGAAGCTGAGACGCTCCCTTCCTACTTGAATCCCAATCGAACTCGCGCACTTCCACCGAAACTGGGTGACTGCGCCCTACGAGATGGGGATTTGTATGCAAAATGTCACTAAAAGCGCCATGCCGTTCTTATAAAAGCACGGATGACCGCGATTGGCCCATATGTTGTAGTCTTTTGGACACTGAGTCGACTGGTTTTGGTCCGAAAAGGCTGCGATGCAGCGTTCCGCCTTTATTCCCAATCGAACATGGTTGAACAAGCGGTCACGTGCTCCTGCGTACGCCAGTCACCTGGTCACCGTGCCTGCAGGGTACAACTTACTAGCCTGTTTGACCTTTTTTGGGTGCAGTCCTGTCACTCGAGTTGAACTCGAGTTGAACCTTGGTGTGAAAGTTGTCACCTGCTGGCGTGGTGACCAGGTGATTTGGGCACCCAGGAGCACGTGACCACTTGTTCAACCATGTTCGATTGGGAATAAAGGAGGAACGCTGCATTGCAGCCTTTTCGGACCAAAACCAGTCGACTCAGCGTCCAAAAGACTACAACATATGGGCCAATGGCGGTCATCCGTGCTTTTATAAGAACGGAATGGCGCTTTTAGTGACATTTTGTATACAAATCCCCATCTCGTAGGGCGCAGTCACCCAGTTTCGGTGGAAGTGCGCGAGTTCGATTGGGATTCAAGTAGGAAGGGAGCGTCTCAGCTTCCTCGGACCAAGACCATTCGACTCAGCACCCCGAAGACTACAACTGGTGAAATTTTAATTTTTGCCTTAACTTCCCCTTTAAAACACTTTATCTGTCCTCTTATTGTTTGAAAATACGAATTTGTATACGTAGGTTAGGAACGGATTTGTTTGTTTGTTTGTTTGTATACTTTATTTGAATTCGCTAATCCAAAAGAGCACAAATGCTCAATGACAAGGCAGCGAATATTTTATTATGTTACAGGGAAGGAGGGTTGGGGAGAAGGTAAGGAGAAAGAAAAGAGAGAATGATAGATATCTCGACTTAGAATATGGATGGTGGGTTCCCGAATGTGTTGTCCACCCACTTGCCCTTCACGGTCACCGTCTCTGCCGTTCCATTACGTCCAATCCTGGGCGGGACGAACGTGACAAAAGAACAGAATTTGCGGAAGACCAGTTACATTGTGCATACATGTACATGTACAGAATGACCGTAACACCAACGCCAGAAACCAAGCGAGAAGCACACACACACATACACACACACACACACACACACACACACACATTATCCGTTTACTGGCGATAGGCCTTGGTCGACAATGCCAACAGAGAAATTGGCAGAAGTTGATACTTGTTCTGGTGTGTTTCGTGCACGTTTGGTATGTGGATAAAGAAACGGAGTAAAATTCAAGGAAGCGCCTGCCAGTATATTTGTATGGATGTGCCAATTTCAATGCTTTTCGACCACAATCTGCCAGTTTTCCAGCATCACCCTCCAAGCACCCCTTGTACGGATATCTGTGGACTTTGATGGACCACGCATATTATTGTCGATCTGGGATGGAGGAAAAAATTGGCCTACACCGCCTGGGCATTCGTGCTCCTATCAAGTGAATGGCAAGAACTAACAAGTGAAGAAGAGAGGACAATAAGTTTGCAAGCTATACGATTCACCAAACAGTAACGATTATAAGCAGGAAAATGGTTACCGGTATGTGCAACAAAATGTGCAACAATTAGCACAAAACTGATAGATGTGATACTGACATTCAACGACCTGCTGCTTAGCTGCACCACGTCTGGACTGCGCGAACCAACAGTCTTCCAACTTGGAAGGTTCTAAATTATGAAATAACATAAGGAGGGGGAAGGTGAGCGCACTGTAGACGAAAACCTCCCCTTTCCTACGCTATTTCATAACTTAGAACCTTCCAAGTTGGAAGGCTGTAAGTTTGCGCAGTCCAGGCGTGATGCAGCTAAGCATCAGGGTTGTTGAACGTTAGTATCACATCAGTCAGTTTTGTGCTACTTGTTGCACATTTTGACTCACCAGTATCCTTCTTATAATGGTGACTGTTGGACAAACCGGATAACTTGTAAACTAATGGTCCTCTTTTTTTAAAAATTTTAGTCCTTGGCTCTCCATCCGAGTTTAATTCAAATAACACATTCAAACAAACAAAACAAACATGCTCCGCATCAGACAAACGTACCTGTATATGTTATCCACCATCTTGAAGTTGACGTTGTAAGTGCGAATCACCGGAACACTAGCTCTAGCGTACACGGTCGAGTCAATGAACTCGTTCTTGCTGAGCTGCACGACGTCAAATGGCCTTCGACTTCCTGGTCGGTAGCGCCCGTAGCCGACGATATTGAAGCGCTGAAAATGCGTCATTTCCATCCCGTCAGGAAAGACGCGCTCGAATCTGTTCCCTTCGATTCGCATCACGCGCGTTGGGAGCTTTTTGTCAGGAAGTTCTTTCTCCAAGGAACCGAAGCATATCTCACCAGACATTCGACTTTTAAGCGTGTTTGCTAGGAATACGCAGTTGTTAACATTCAGAGACTTTTCGTAGTCTGTCTGTATTGCGTCGCTGATGAGCAGATTATTGAGGAAGCTGCTACTTTGCACCCGTAAGTCAAAACCTGGATTGTCGATCAGGTGATTCGCGGCGCATTTCTCGAACACGGTGTTGACGATGTGAACGGCCCCAGGAATGGGTGGTTGCTTTCCTGTAGAGAGTCGAACTACCGCTTGTCTATAGAAGGACCAGCTACGTGTTGCGCTGTACAGATTGGTGAAGCGACTGTTTGAAATGTCGATTCTCGTGCGCCCGAAGCTCGATATGTATACACTGTGTGAAGATACCATCGACCCCCCTGTACTGCCAAGGCCAACTCCTGTGAAGTTGCACTGTGACAGGGTCACGTGAAGTGTTTCGTTGTTTTTCATGACCACCTGCACGGCGGCTACGTCATCAGTGAGCTTGAAAGCACAGTCTCGAAGTGAGATGGCCAAGCTATTGGAGGCGTTAGAACGCGGGTTTGAGGCGAATGTCAGCACGGAGTATGAAAGCTTTCGACCTGGTGGAGATGTCTCAGCCCGCTCGAAAAGCAGGCTCTCCAGAGACACACTTTGTCTTTGCAGCGTGTAGTCACCGTAGAGCTTGAGAAATCCCGGTATGTACATCAACCTGGCGTACTTGCAGCCTTTGATGTTGGCCGCTCTGACTTGCAGCGATACTGCCCTCTCTATCACCACTTCCAACCTTGTCTGGCCAGCAGAAATCAAGCAGCCATCTTTAGGATTGCCAATGAGGTTGATAACAAGTGTCGGAGGTGATATCAGCTCGGTGGAGGCCCGCAGTGCGTCGGACACAGTGGCACAAGCCAGTTCTGGAGTAAGTCCACAATCAACGGCAACATCCATTGCCGCTGGAGTTCGACCGTACGATTCCACATAAAGCTGCAGTGTTTTGACCTCTTTGGGCCTTCCACGCTTTGATAGCATGTACTTGCCTAGCAACATGTCCAGCCATTGCAAACGCCGAGTGACGGGAGCTCGGACGTGTTGATGGAAGCGCCCTCCTTGTACTCTTTGTATAAGCTGACGCCCGGCGGATTCGGAAAGTTCTTTTACGTTGGCGAGAGGGCGCGCTCGTGGTGTCGCCACCACCAAGGCGATACCAAGGCTGGCAGAGGCGAAGAGACACACTGCGACGTACTGCATAGCTTGCCTATCCGTGTTTGTTCACTGCAACGTACTTCGGCGTAGACGGGGCAAATCTGTAGAAAGGCTGCAATGGAAGGGAAATGAACATGCAATACAAATTCTGGTTTCTTCTGAAACAAAATACTTGTATGTTATATTATTATGAAGGTCGAGGCTACCGGAATGTCGTAAGGCAATAGAGGCGAACTACAACCCTCCTGGCAGCAATGTGGCAAGCCTGAAAATCATCCGAGTGTCAGTTTCAGCACACTCTTCTCAAATATTTATAAGAGATAGCGTCGCGCACGGGTCGGGTAGATCATCACCTGATCGTGCAGTCGGGAGGAAGAAGTATCGCCAGAATTTCGCTTTCCTAGCATCTGGCACTGGGTCGCAGCTGTTCACCGTTGCCATTTCCTTTCTCCTGGTGGCCTTACAGCAAAACACACAATCTTGTCACTTTGGACTAACCCCCGACATGACATCTTCCGCTCAGGTGTAAGCTAATGTACGGGTATGGTATCGGACAACTGTAAATCGTGCGCCACCGTGGGAAGTGCAAAGCCAATCTTGAACTACGTCTCCCAGTGCGTTCGATTATGCCCGCGAATCGATTCACGAATTGAATCATGAATCTATTAGCGCTATTCACATTACCCCGTGTGAATAGGGTGAATGGATTCCGAATCGATTCCAGTTCTCATGACGTGAAAATCGAACGGAATGGATTCGTGAATCGATTCAAGTGCATAATCGAACGCAGCCAGTGAAACAAAGACGGGATACGCAGACTACAGATGGTGCTGACCCTAGACTAGGGTAAGGAACATCTGGATTCCAGATTTTATTTTTTGCAGGAACACATCCACACGCGCGCGTGCACCCCCCCCCCCCCACACACACATAACACACACATATTATAATTATTCCCGTAGCCATGCAGAAGACGTTGTAGCGACCTGACTACTGTCCATTACGTCATTTCTACATACGCATGCGCAGGAAATAAAAACATTTTCTTTGGTCTCAACTCCTTTGTTGTCCGGTTGGCCAAAGTAGCCGTCGTCTAGGGCACGAATAAGTGAAATTTGTTCTGCATATTCTTAATCTGTAATTGAGAAAGCAGAAATACGTGTGTACTTGGTGAAGTACAGTGGAGCCTGTCCAAGCCAACCGCTTATGAGACCTTCAAAACGTGATCTCTGTTAACAGGTGGTCTCCTTATCCAGGGTCACTTAACTGGAAATAGCATTCCTTGGTCCTGGTTTCAGTGGTCTTCTAGGACAGGTGGTCGCCTTATCCGAGTAGTCGCCTTGACAGGTGTTGCTATAAATATACACAGACAACAAACAACAAGAACGTCCCAATGCAGCTGCTATGTCGCCGTTGAATTCAGAAGAAACATGCTTTGCCAAGTGTTGGCAGTGCGGGTGGTCGCGCATGTGCATTGCTAATTCACTACGTTCAGAGACAGGGCTGGTGTCGCTCTCATTGGCGTGTGTCGCAGGATACTGCCACTGGTCGTGATCTTGTAAGTTCATACACATTCGTGCTACCGTCGGCCATACAGTTGTGATGAGAAACACAAACAGGCGAGAAAGTTTCGCTTTGACTGGTCGTCAGGCCTGACTACACTAGGGGGTCGCGTTCATTTCAGTTACTAAGAGAAAAGTTAGAGATCTTCTTTCCTAACATCTTCCTTCTTGTAGTTGGTTTCTTTATTTGGTTTGGCAAAACCAAACGGACAGAACTGTCCAGTGATGAGGGAGTGAATGATGAGCGTGATATCACTAGGCAACAAAGGAATGTTACCACAACTTACCACAACTGCGGAAGAAATGGCTATCTATAGAGTGTGTAGACAAAGATACCGGATGTAAAATTGACTGATCGCAATTACCTGAAAAGATGAATTGTAAATTTCGAAATGTGGCCATTCTGCAAGCCGTGGTTGGCTATAAAAACCCTGCAATCGCCACGTAAAGTGGTCATTGGCTAACCCAGCAATGTATTGTTTGGAATGAAACTGAAAACGCGGCAAACGAGGAATGGAAACAGAATGATGGAGAGATTGCGTGGAAACAATAAAACAGATAATGGCTGACTAAAATAGCAATGGCCACCAACAGCGACAAACATGATGTAAATACGAATACAGTAAAACCTGTAACTAACGACCACCCCTTGGGTCCTGAGAAACCGGTCTTTAGTTGCAGGTGGTCCTTAGTTAGAGGTTTACGCCATGCACACAACCATAGGTGAATACGAGACCGTCCGTGCCCGGCGAAGTGGGATGTAGTAGCAGGCTGGTCGCCAGTCACGGTGGTCTGTAGTAGCAGGCTGGTCGCCAGTCACGGTAGTCTTTACTTCCAGGTTTTACTTTACTGTACAATCATCTATATGTAAGTTTAGAACGGACTTTTATCGAATATGGGTGGTGGGTTTCCGAATGTGTTATCCCACTTGCCCTTCACGGTCATTGTCTCCGCCGTTCCATTACGTCCAATCCTGGGCGGGACGAACGTGACAAAAGAACAGAATTTGCGGAAGACCAGTTACATTGTGCATACATGTACATGTACAGAAAGACTGTTACACCAACGCCAGAAACCAAGCGAGAAGCACACACACACACACACACACACACACACACACACACACACACACACACACACACACACACACACACATACACACACACACACACACATTATCCCCTTACTGGCGATAGCCCTTGGCCGCTAATGCTAACAGAGAAATTGGCAGAATCTGATACTGTTCTGGTGTGTTTCGTGCACGTTTGGTATGTGGATAAGGAAACGGAGCAAAATTCAAGGAAGTGCCTGCCAGTATGTTTGTATGGATGTGCCAATTTCAATGCTTTTCGAACACAATCTGCCAGTTTTCGAGCATTACCCTCCAAGAACCCCTTGTACGGATATCTGTGGACTTTGAGTGACCACGCATATTATTGTCGATCTGGTATGTAGCAAAAAATTGGCCTACGCCACCTGGGCATTCGTGCTCCTATCAAATGAATGGCAAGAACTAACAAGTGAAGAAGAGAGGACAAGAAGTTTGCAAGTTATACGATTCACCAAACACTCACAATTATAAGCAGGAAAATGGTTAGCGGTAGTCAAAATGTGCAACAATTAGCACAAAACTGACTGATGTGATACTGACATTCAACGACCTGCTGCTTATCTGCACCACGTCTGGACTGCGCAAACCAACAGTCTTCCAACTTGGAAGGTTCTATATTATGAAATAACATAAGGAGGGGGAAGGTGAGCGAACTGTAGACGAAAACCTCCCCTTTCCTACGCTATTTCATAACTTAGAACCTTCCAAGTTGTAAGGCTGTTGGCTTGCGCAGTCCAGGCGCGATACAGCTAAGCATCAGGGTTGTTGAAGGTTAGTATCACATCAGTCAGTTTTGTGCTAATTGTTGAACATTTTGACTCACCAGTATTCTGCTTAAAACCGTTAGTGTTGGACAAACCGCGGATAACTTGCAAACTTATGGTGCTCCCTTTTTTTAAAATTTTAGTCCTTGGCTCTCAATCCGAGTTCAATACAAATAAACATACTAAAAACCAAAACAAACAAAACAAACAAAACAAACATGCTCCGCATCAGACAAACGTACCTGTATATGTTATCCACCATCTTGAAGTTGACATTGTTAGTGCGAATCACCGGAGCACTAGCTCTAGCGTACACGGTCGAATGAATGAACTCGTTCTTGCTGAGCTGCACGACATCAAATGGCCTTCGACTTCCTGGTCGGTGGCGCCCGTAGCCGACGATAGTGAAGCGCTGAAAATGCGTCATTTCCATCCCGTCAGGAAAGACGCGCTCGAATCTGTTCCCTTCGATTCGCATCACGCGCGTTGGGAGCTTTTTGTCGGGAAGTTCTTTCTCTAAGGAACCGAAGCATATCTCAGCAGACATTCGGCCTTTAAGTTGGTTTGCTAGGAATACGCAGTTGTTGACATTCAGAGACTTTTCGTAGTCTGTCTGTATTGCGTCGCTGATGAGCAGATTATTGAGGAAGCTGCTACTTTGCACTCGTAAGTCAAAGCCCTGATTGTCGATTAGGTGATTCGCGATGCATTTCTCGAACACGGTGTTGACGATGTGAACGGCCCCAGGAATGGGTGGTTGCTTTCCTGTAGAGAGTCGAACTATCGCTTGTCTATAGAAGGACCAGCTACGCGTTGCGCTGTACAGATTGGTGAAGCGACTGTTTGAAATGTCGATTCTCGTGCGCCTGAAGCTCGAGATGTATACACTGTGTGAAGATACCATCGACCCCCCTGTACTGCGAAGGCCAACTCCTGTGAAGTTGCACTGTGACAGGGTCACGTGAAGTGTTTCGTTGTTTTTCATGACCACCTGCACGGCGCCTACGTCATCAGTGAGCTTGAAAGCACAGTCTCGAAGTGAGATGGCCAAGCTATTGGAGGCGTTAGAATGCGGGTTTGAGGCGAATGTCAGCACGGAGTATGAAAGCTTGCGACCTGGTGGAGATGCCTCAGCCCGCTCGAAAAGCAGGCTCTCCAGAGACACACTTTGTCTTTGCAGCGTGTAGTCACCGTAGAGCCTGAGAAATCCCGGTATGTACATCAGCCTGGCGTACTTGCAGCCTTTGATGTTGGCCGCTCTGACTTGCAGCGATACTGCCCTCTCTATCACCACTTCCAACCTTGTCTGGCCAGCAGAAATCAAGCAGCCATCTTTAGGATTGCCAATGAGGTTGATAACAAGTGTCGGAGGTGATTTCAGCTCGATGGAGGCCCGCAGTGCATCGGACACAGTGGCACAAGCCCGTTCTGGAGTAAGTCCACAACCAACGGCTACACCCTTTGCCGCTGGAGTTCGACCGTACGATTCCACGTAAAGCTGCAGTGTTTTGACTTCTTTGGGCCTTCCACGCTTCGATAGCATGTACTTGCCTAGCAACATGTCCAGCCATTGCAAACGCCGAGTGACGGGAGCTCGGACGTGTTGATGGAAGCGCTCTCCTTGCACTCTTTGTATAAGCTGACGCCCGGTCGATTCGGAAAGTTCTTCTACGTTGGTGAGAGGGCGCGCTCGTGGTGTCGCCACCACCAAGGCGATACCAAGGCTGGCAAAGGCAAGAATACACACTGCGACGTACTGCATAGCTTGCCTATCCGTGTTTGTTCACTGCAACGTACTTCGGTGTAGACGATGACAATCTGTAGATAGGCTGCAATGGAGGGGATATGAACATGCAATACAACTTATGGTTTCTTCTGAAACTTAGCAAAATACTTGTATGTTACTATTATTATAAAGGTCGAGGCTACCGGAATGTCGTAAGGCAATACAAGCGAACTACAACCCTCCTGGCAGTAACGTGGCAAGCCTGAAAATCATCCGAGTGTCAGTTTCAGCACACCGTCTTCTCAGATATTTATACGAGATAGCGTCGCGCACGGGTCGAGTAGATCACCAGCTGATCGTGCAGACGGGACGAAGAAGTATCGCCAGAATTTCGCTTTCCTAGCACCTGGCACTGGGTCGCAGCTGTTCACCGTCGCCATTTCCTTTCTTCTGGTGGCCTTACAGCAAAACACACAATCTTGTCACTTTGGACTAACCCCCGACATGACATCTTCCGCTCAGGTGTAAGCTAATGTACGGGTATGGTATCGGACAACTGTAAATCGTGCGCCACCGTGGGAAGGGCAAAGCCAATCTTGAACCACGTCTCCCAGTGCGTTCGATTATGCCCGCGAATCGATTCACGAATTGATTCATGAATCTATTAGCGCTATTCACATTACCCCGTGTGAATAGGGTGAATGGATTCCGAATCGATTCCAGTTCTCACGACGTGAAAATCGAACGGAATGGATTCGTGAATCGATTCAAGTGCATAATCGAACGCAGCCAGTGAAACAAAGACGGGAGACGCAGACTACAGATGGTGCCGACCCTAGGCTAGGGTAAGGAACATCTGGATTCCAGATAAGATTGTTTGCAGGAACGCATCCACACGCGCGCGTGCACACCCCCCCCCCCCACACACACACATAACACACACATAATAATTATTCCCGTAACCATGCAGAAGACGTTGTAGCGACCTGACTACTGTCCATTACGTCATTTCTATATAAGCATGCGCAGGAAATAAAAACATTTTCTTTGGTCTCAACTCCTTTGTTGTCCGGTTGGCCAAAGTAGCCGTCGTCTAGGGCCCGAATAAGTGAAATTTGTTCTGCATATTCTTAATCTGTAATTGAGAAAGCAGAAATGCGTGTGTACTTGGTGAAGTACAGTGGAGCCTGTCCAAGCCAACCGCTTATGAGACCTTCAAAACGTGATCTCTGTTAACAGGTGGTCTCCTTATCCAGGGTCACTTAACTGGAAATAGCATTCCTTGGTCCTGGTTTCAGTGGTCTTCTAGGACAGGTGGTCGCCTTATCCGAGTAGTCGCCTTGACAGGTGTTGCTATAAATATACACAGACAACAAACAACAAGAACGTCCCAATGCAGCTGCTATGTCGCCGTTGAATTCAGAAGAAACATGCTTTGCCAAGTGTTGGCAGTGCGGGTGGTCGCGCATGTGCATTGCTAATTCACTACGTTCAGAGACGGGGCTGGTGTCGCCTTCATTGGCGTGTGTCGCAGGATACTGCCACTGGTCGTGATCTTGTAAGTTCATACACATTCGCGCTACCGCCGGCCATACAGTTGTGATGAGAAACACAAACAGGCGAGGAAGTTTCGCTTCAACTGGTCGTCAGGCCTGACTACACTAGGGGGTCGCGTTCATTTCAGTTACTAAGAGAAAAATTAGAGATCTTCTTTCCTAACATCTTCCTTCTTGTAGTTGGTTTCGCAAAACCAAACGGACAGAACTGCCCAGTGATGAGGGAGTGAATGATGAGCGTGATATCACTAGGCAACAAAGGAATGTTACCACAACTTACCACAACTGCGGAAGAAATGGCTATCTATAGAGTGTCTAGACAAAGATACCGGATGTAAAATTGACTGATCGCAATTACCTGAAAAGATGAATTGTAAATTTCGAAATTTGGCCATTCTGCAAGCCGTGGTTGGCTATAAAAACCCTGCAATCGCCACGTAAAGTGGTCATTGGCTAACCCAGCAATGTATTGTTTGGAATGAAACTGAAAACGTGGCAAACGAGGAATTGAAACAGAATGATGGACAGATTGCGTGGAAACAATAAAACAGATAATGGCTGATTAAAATAGCAATGGCCACCAACAGCGACAAACATGATGTAAATACGAATACAGGAAAACCTGTAACTAACGACCACCCCTTGGGGCCAGAGAAACCGGTCTTTAGTTGCAGGTAGTCCTTAGTTAGAGGTTTACGCCATGCACACAACCATAGGTGAATACGAGACCGTCCGTGCCCGGCGAAGTGGTCTGTAGTAGCAGGCTGGTCGCCAGTCACGGTGGTCTGTATTAGCAGGCTGGTCGCCAGTCACGGGTGGTCTTTACTTCCAGGTTTTACTATAATGTACAATCATCTATACATGTATGTAAGTTTAGAACGGACTTCTATCGAATATGGATGGTGGGTTCCCGAATGTGTTATCCCACTTGCCCTTCACGGTCATCGTCTCCGCCGTTCCATTACGTCCAATCCTGGGCGGGACGAACGTGACAAAAGAACAGAATTTGCGGAAGACCAGTTATATTGTGCATACATATACATGTACAAAATGACTGTTACACCAACGCCAGAAACCAAGCGAGAAGCACACACACACACACACACCTTATCCCCTTACTGGCGGTAGCCCTTGGCCGCTAATGCTAACAGAGAAATTGGCAGAAGTTGATACTTGTTCTGGTGTGTTTCGTGCACGTTTGGTATGTGGATAAGGAAACGGAGCAAAATTCAAGGAAGTGCCTGCCAGTATGTTTGTATGGATGAGCCAATTTGAATGCTTTTCGAACACAATCTGCCAGTTTTCGAGCATTACCCTCCAAGAACCCCTTGTACGGATATCTGTGGACTTTGATGGACCACGCATATTATTGTCGATCTGGTATGTAGCAAAAAATTGGCCTACGCGACCTGGGCATTCGTGCTCCTATCAAATGAATGGCAAGAACTAACAACTGAAGAAGAGAGGACAATAAGTTTGCAAGTTATACGATTGACCAAATACTAACAATAATATTATAAGCAGGAAAATGGTTAGCGGTAGTCAAAATGTGCAACAATTAGCACAAAACTGACTGATGTGATACTGACATTCAACGACCTGCTGCTTATTTGCACCACGTCTGGACTGCGCAAACCAACAGTCTTCCAACTTGGAAGGTTCTATATAATGAAATAACATAAGGAGGGGGAAGGTGAGCGAACTGTAGACGAAAACCTCCCCTTTCCTACGCTATTTCATAACTTAGAACCTTCCAAGTTGGAAGGCTGTTGGTTTGCGCACTCCAGGCGTGATACAGCTAAGCATCAGGGTCGTTGAAGGTGAGTATCACATCGGTCAGTTTTGTACTAATTGTTGAACACTTTGACTCACCAGTATCTTGCATAATCGTTAGTGTTGGACAAACCGCGGATAACTTGCAAACGTATGGTGCTCCCTTTTTTTAAATTTTAGTTCTTGGCTCTCCATCCGAGTTTAATTCAAATAACACATTCAAACAAACAAAACAAACATGCTCCGCATCAGACAAACGTACCTGTATATGTTATCCACCATCTTGAAGTTGACGTTGTAAGTGCGAATCACCGCAACACTAGCTCTAGCATACACGGTCGAGTCAATGAACTCGTTCTTGCTGAGCTGCACGACATCAAATGGCCTTCGACTTCCTGGTCGGTGGCGCCCGTAGCCGACGACAGTGAAGCGCTGAAAATGCGTCATTTCCATCCCGTCAGGAAAGACGCGCTCGAATCTGTTCCCTTCGATTCGCATCACGCGCGTTGGGAGCTTTTTGTCGGGAAGTTCTTTCTCCAAGGAACCGAAGCATATCTCACCAGACATTCGACTTTTAAGCGTGTTTGCTAGGAATACGCAGTTGTTAACATTCAGAGACTTTTCGTAGTCTGTCTGTATTGCGTCGCTGATGAGGAGATTATTGAGGAAGCTGCTACTTTGCACCCGTAAGTCAAAACCTGGATTGTCGATCAGGTGATTCGCGGCGCATTTCTCGAACACGGTGTTGACGATGTGAACGGCCCCAGGAATGGGTGGTTGCTTTCCTGTAGAGAGTCGAACTATCGCTTGTCTATAGAAGGACCAGCTACGTGTTGCGCTGTACAGATTGGTGAAGCGACTGTTTGAAATGTCGATTCTCGTGCGCCCGAAGCTCGAGATGTATACACTTTGCGAAGATACCATCGACCCCCCTGTACTGCGAAGGCTAACTCCGGTGAAGTTGCACTGTGACAGGGTCACGTGAAGTGTTTCGTTGTTTTTCATGACCACCTGCACGGCGCCTACGTCATCAGTGAGCTTGAAAGCACAGTCTCGAAGTGAGATGGCCAAGCTATTGGAGGCGTTAGAACGCGGGTTTGAGGCGAATGTCAGCACGGAGTATGAAAGCTTGCGACCTGGTGGAGCTGTCTCAGCCCGCTCGAAAAGCAGGCCCTCCAGAGACAGACTTTGTTTTTCCAGTGTGTAGTCACCGTAGAGCTTGAGAAATCCCGGTATGTACATCAACCTGGCGTACTTGCAGCCTTTGATGTTGGCCGCTCTGACTTGCAGCGATACTGCCCTCTCTATCACCACTTTCAACCTTGTCCGGCCAGCAGAAATCAAGCAGCCATCTTTAGGATTGCCAATGAGGTTGATAACAAGTGTCGGAGGTGATATCAGCTCGGTGGAGGCCCGCAGTGCGTCGGACACAGTGGCACAAGCCCGTTCTGGAGTAAGTCCACAACCAACGGCTACACCCTTTGCCGCTGGAGTTCGACCGTACGATTCCACATAAAGCTGCAGTGTTTTGACTTCTTTGGGCCTTCCACGCTTCGATAGCATGTACTTGCCTAGCAACATGTCCAGCCATTGCAAACGCCGAGTGACGGGAGCTCGAACGTATTGATGGACGCGCCCTCCTTGCACTCTTTGTATAAGCTGACGCCCTGTCGATTCGGACAGTTCTTCTACGTTGGCGAGAGGGCGCGTTCGTGGTGTCGCCACCACCAAGGCTATACCAAGGCTGGCAGAGGCGAAGAGACACACTGCGACGTACTGCATAGCTTGCCTATCCGTGTTTGTTCACTGCAACGTACTTCGGCGTAGACGGGGCAAATCTGTAGAGAGGCTGCAATGGAAGGGATATGAACATGCAATACAAATTCTGGTTTCTTCTGAAACTTAGCAAAATACTTGTATGTTATATTATTATGAAGGTCGAGGCTACCGGAATGTCGTAAGGCAATACAAGCGAACTACAACCCTCCTGGCAGTAATGTGGCAAGCCTGAAAATCATCCGAGTGTCAGTTTCAGCCCACTCTTCTCAGATATTTATACGAGATAGCGTCGCGCACGGGTCGAGTAGATCATCACCTGATCGTGCAGCCGGGACGAAGAGGTATCGCCAGAATTTCGCTTTCCTAGCACCTGGCACTGGGTCGCAGCTGTTCACCGTTGCCATTTCCTTTCTCCTGGTGGCCTTACAGCAAAACACACAATACTGTCACTTTGGACTAACCCCCGACATGACATCTT